ATAATAATATTCTAAGATAATTAATAAATAATAAAATAATAAACTAATAATAAATTCGTTCTATAACAATATATTAAATTAATATATACTAAATTAATATATTTTGTTAAATTTAGTTCACACAACAAGTATTTGAATTGGTTGAATTTGAATAAGAATTAAAATGTTAACATATAGTCAGTATGATATAATAAATGTCGCTAAGAGATAATCTGGCAGGGTTTAAATTTATTGAATATAATCTCTATAAAAGTTTCCTTTTGGTGGTATTCATATGAATAGCAAGACAAAAAAATTATTACTTTATTGAAATTTAGAATTTAGCTTGGAAATTTAACTATGCGAAGCTAAGTTTATAACAATAGTCAAGCCAATAAGAAATTATATGAGCAATAATATATCTCTGATAAGGTAAGATTAGCAAATTATAATCTATAGTTTTTATTTAATATACTTTTAAGAAAAAACAGAACTTTGGGCTTTTAAAAGCAATTGGCAGTGTCCATGTTCTGTTAATCATACATACTTTATTAAATTTTGTAAAAATATATATTAATCATTTTACTCGTGACTATACCTATATTCAAAACATATAAAATTTGATAGTTTATAAATTCAGAACTTTGTAAAATAAATTAAAGAAAATGATTCAAAATGCCTTTATAAATGAATAACTGTATGTACTATTGTTGGCTATAAATAAGATTATATACAGTCAACTCTCCTAAATACAAGTCATAGGGACAGGCTCTGGGGCATGCATTTAGGGGGGTTGCAATTAGGGAGTAGCCAATTATATTGAGGCAATATTCAAAATCACGTGAATAATTTAATATAATATATATATTATAAAGTTCTTTTTCGCTTACATATAATAAAATTCTTTTCCGCTTACATATAATAAAGCTTTTTTTCGCTTATATTTACTACACTAATACTACATAATACGTAATTTTTTTTTAATTTAGTTATATATAACTGTGTATATTGAATGGGCGCCTTACTTAAAATATCACAACGATCTACAAAAAAATAAGTAAGGGGCTTTACGTCTATGATTTATTTAAACTTTTCTCCAATATCAAGTTCGATTATTAAAAAAATAAAGACTAAGACTAGCGTTATTTTAAAGATCTCTGTTTTAAAAGATAAGTGTAAAAAGCCATGATCTAATCAATCAACTCAAAATAAGTTTCAATACTTGTTTGCTTGAAAGATGCAATTCAAAGCTTCCTTATTTCTTTTTGCAATTTTAATAAAGCTTCGTCATGTTTAGCTTGGATTATTTCACTAAAATCATTCTGCACAATATATTGTTCAAGTATTTCTACTGCGTTTAATGCTTCTTGATGACTGATTTGACGCATTTCTGTACTGTTATTATCTTTAGCACTTTTATTCTCAGGTTCAAGATTGGTGGCCAGATCCAAAATTTCTTTATCGCTCAATACTTCATATATATCCTTTTCTTCTGGGTAATTGATATATTCCTCAAGATTCATAATGTTTTGAAAGTTAAGCGCCTCAATATCTGAATAAAGGTCATCCATCAATTCATCATCATTATCATCAACGAAGGATTCTTCATTATCTTGGGTATCTGGAAAAATTCCTGTATATTGAAAACAGTTACATATTGTTTCTGGTGTTACTTCTCTCCATGCTCGAGCAATAAACCTTATGGCATCAAGAACATTTATTTTTTCATATTTTTCAGCTTTATATTTGTCAAGTAACTATTTTATAAAGTAACTTCGATAATGATACTTGAAGGACATAATAATGCCAGCGTCCATAGGCTGGATGTGGGATGTTGTATACAGAGGTAGAGTATGAACTTTTGTATTACAAAGATTTAAATTAGCAGTAGAATAAACTTTTGCACTATCTAATAAAAGAATTATCTTACGGCCAGCCATCTTCAAGTCAAATTCCTTAAGCCACTTTTGAAACAAAATCGTTGTTATCCATGCTTTATGACTTGCATCATATTTAATACCAAGTCCATTACGATTTACACCTTTGAAACAACGTGGGTTGGGGACTTACCAATTACAAATATTTTTATTTTATCTGTACCATCAGCATTAGCACAAAGTGCTAAGATTAACTGCTCTAAATCTTTTTTTTTTTTCTTTAAGACATTTAGTAGCCAAAGTAGTATCAGGTTCAAGACTAAAAAAAAAAAAAAAGTTAAAGAAGATAAGTATGATTTAATACAATATAATTTGTTATACCGATAAAATAATCTGGTTTCATCCATATTGTAAATATCCTTTAGATCATATTCTTCTAATAATTCTTTCAATTTAGAAATGGCAGCAGCAACAACAGTATCATCCATCGAGACATCTTCTTCATGCTTTTTTACCCATCCTAATTTGTGTCTTTTTTTAAACTTGTATAGCCAGCTTTGTAAGAACTTAAAATTGGGTATTTCTAACATTTGAGCAAAAGTTTTTGCTTTTTCTATAAAAATCGCATCGCTTAAAATTACTTTTTCTTGATTTTGCAGAACCTACTCAAGTAATGTATTCTTAAGCTCTGGATGTTAGACTGTTCTTTGTCTTTTTGTAGCAGGATTACTTTCAATATCTTCTTTATTTTTTATTAGGCATCCAATAGTACTTGGATGAACATCAAGTTTAAATTCTTTCTTTACCCAGTCTACGAGTTCAACATTGCTAATATTAGGATGTTTACTTTTATATGTAATGATATCTTGTCTTTGTTTATTAGTAAGTGTGGTTTTATCTTTGCGTTTACTAAAGACATTTTGTCTTTATTATACGAAGTAATTTTTATTAAAAAATAAATTTATGTCGCTCAAATATATTTTTACTAGAGCTAAGCAATATGCGAAGATATTTTTTAAAAAAGAATTTGATTTTATTTATCTCAATCATTCTATTTTATAATTAACAAATGATATTTGGATAAGATTAATTTCTAACCTTTATTAATTATTATTATTAGAACTAACAAAGAAAAAAATTGTTAAGAAGAATAATTTTGCTAATCAGATGCGAGCCTAGCATACAATTCATATGTGCTTATACATTTACGCATATAATTTTAAATAATAAAATATTATTATCTAAAATTAGTAATATGCCCTATGTATATCCTGGAAATTTTGGATGCTCATTTATGCGTTTAGTTTTGAAAAATAGGCATTTGGCATAAGTTCATTGTTTAAATCAGGGCTCGTAATCGATTCTTATCTAAGTTTTCTTAATCTTAAGAACTGATATTTTTTTTTTTGGAGCTTTGACAGTCTTGTCGGAGCTCGAATACAATACTTTATTAATGTAATAAACTTGGACAAAAAATTACTAAAGTTGAAATTGCAAGCCCAACATCAACCGGCTGCGTTTAACGTGCTCAAATGCGACTTGTCGCACTGACCTACATGTAAGTCAGAGACCTTGTCAGCCTGCCAAAAGCCTATCTCTCCATTCTAACTTTCTTCACCGAGAGCAAAAGAAAACAATATTCCAACATACCAGAATGTATATTTAGAAAAAAAGGGTTTTATGTATACAAAAATCAAAAAACAAGAAAAGAAAAATTCTAAGGGAAAAATAAAAAAAAGAGGGAAAAGGGAATGTAAAAAAAGAAAAGAAACAAAGAGATAAGCCCAGACAGGCCACAAGAAAAGGTTCTACCTCTAAATCGTAGAAATAGTGTAAAAAGGAATTGAACAAAAAGACTTCCTTCTCAGTACCTTAAAAACAGAAAAAAGAAAAAATGCACTATTATAACCTGTGCCAGGTGAGTGTAAAAATTATATAACAAATACAACATTTGTATATCTCTCTTGTAAAGCTTCGCCTTAATGTTAGTATTTCTTTCCGACCGTATAACCAACTCCGGAATAATTGGTCCGACCTAATCTGTATCTCAAACAGGTGCTGCTGCCGTCCGTAGACCTGTATCTCAAGCCACCTGTTGCCGCCATTAAGGAAATTCATAGGATCTGTCTAATTTAGTAGCACTGTATCCATCGAACACATGGTTGTAATCTACTCGGCTATCCAAATTTGGGATATAAACAATGTTGATCCTTTGGAGGGGGTAAGCCAAATCCCCACTTTTTATCCAGAAAATTTTTTCAAAACAGCGAAAGTTATAGAAGGGAGTTTTTATAGATAAAGAACAACCACTTGTATTTTTTGTAAGGAGTATATTGAAAATTAAAAACTTTTGTTGTTCCTCTTGTCTTCTCTGTTCAACTTCTAAAAGACTTTGTCGACGGAAACCCTCCTCTCCAGGACACTGTCTCTACTAAAATTTTCTGTACAAGGGCACCACCTACCAGTTATCTTGTACCAAAATGCTTTTGGCTTGTATGCCGAATATGTAAAGGAGTTAAGCAAGTCCAACCTCTACAAAAACCACAAAACGATGTTATCTCCAACAAAATATTTATTTTTCTTTAGGTGGAAAATTTGGGACAAATAATCGTCGGAAAGAGTTTTTTAATTTGGTTGTAAATTTTTTTTTTTATTTTTTATTTTTTTTTTAATATTAAGGTGACCACTTAGGCCCTTGGCACTTTATTAGTACAAGTGGTAGGCCAATGTTAATTTT